AGATTCGAAGTTCGGTTCCACCAGAAGACGACGGCGGATTCCTCTTGACCAGCTGTCGATTGGTTTTACTCGAAAATTCATGCTGACGCTGTTTCCGTGGCAATCTCCTTCGATTTCGGTGAAAAGGTGGTAACCTTTCGTCCGTCATATGACGGAAATCATTAGAGCAAGTTATCCTCGTCACAACAAAATTCAAGCTAATGAGTGAAGAAAACTCGCTAGCTTGAATTTTATTGTGACGATGATACCTTGCTCTGATGATTTTCGTCATATGACGGACGAAAGGTTAGCACATTTTCACCGAAATCGAGGGAGATTGCCTCGGAAACAGCGTCAGCATGAATCTTCCAGTAAAGCCAATCGAGAGCTGGTCAAGAAGAATCCGCCGTCGTCTTCTGGTGGAAGCTAACTTCGAATCTCTTCACCCAACACTTTCACTCGAAATGAAAGTAAGCTCAACAATTATAAAACAAAAGATTCTTTGAAATCCAACTTTTCTTTAACAAGTTGTTGTGTGGTGCTAAGAATGGCGGACTCAATGACGATGCCGACTACGATGTCGGCGAAACGTCTGATAAAGTACCACGTCCACGGTCCAACTTTGGAAACGTTAATGCATACAATGTACTACGGACTAGGTGCATTCCTCTTAGTCTTCCCACCAATATGCCCAAGTTGCGTAAACAAAGTCAAACAACTTCTGACCAATTTTCTGTTCAACCGTTCTATCGTCCGATGTTGGAAATCACGACTACTATAACAGAGGACACAGAATTAGGTACATTACACAAGATTTCCCTGACGCTCCTACCAAGTTGGGAAAACTAGGTCGAATCAACTCTATAAAGCTATTTTCGTGTTGGAGCAGAGATTAGAGACTACCAGTATATCAGTAATATGAGACGGTTTCACCCTATTTCACCTTAAACGAAATAGAATGAATACCTCTCATATTTCTATAAGGCTAAACGGTACTGCGACCAAACAGAAGGCCATCTTGGTCTTCCTATATACGATCTAGTTTTTTGATTTATTTATCCTATATTTATCATCCAACGCCTCCTTGCCATTAAATTATGCATCTTCACAGCTTTCCTTTGTCCTCATCATTAACCAGGTCCAGGGATGCGTACCAACAACGTGTCAATGGCTGCTGGCGTTTTTTCTTGGGGTTGTGGGGATGCTGGTCAACTGGGCCAAATCCGTTATGATAACTGGCCTTCTAAGACGCCCGGTAATTCAACTATTAATCCGGTTGATGGGAATACGGCGGCCAACAGTCCAAACAGCATCCGTCGTAGCCATAAGGGCGGAGATATGATGCCAAATCCCGGCTTTCTGAGCTCAGCTAATAACAAGAGCCTTAATTGGGTTCATCCGATGCCAATGATGATTCTTAAGCAGGCACTCTCCAAGGTAGGTAAAGATTGTTATTTGGGCACTTTTAGTTAAAAAAATATTTAGTTAAATAGCGTTGGTTAGACCTCGTCTTCGCAACTTGGTCGGAGAGTAAGGAAGACCGTGTGGAATGTATCAAGTCCTGTGTCCTCTGCCATAGTATTTGTGATTTCCAGCATCGGACCATTGACTTGGTACATTATAAAACGTTTCGCCGGCATCGTGGTCGGCATCGTCAGTGAGGGGTGCCATCATCAACATGGAGTTACAACTTATTAAAGGGACAAATGAAGATAATACTCTTTACCCGTTTTCCCTTCAATCGTGGCATCACTCCTCGCCCCTATTTTTGTTCCACAGTTTACTACCGTATCTCTTCCTTTCAATCCCACTTCATATGGCTCATCTACCAATTCACACAATTCTGTGTTCTCGTTTCCTACATTGTCGCCTAAGAGTGTGTCGCTACAAGCGGGTTTAACGAAGCGTGATCATCTCTATCACCGGTACCAGGTGCCGTTTTCAGGGCTCCTGATCTTCATTCAGCATCCCCTTTTTCCTACCCCGCTTGCCAATTGTTCTCTGCTATATATATCAAAATCATAGTTTGACTTCCTGAAATCTGGCTGCCTAAGAGCATTCAATTTCCTGGCCTGATTACGCCGTATTGGAGGATTTAGGGCAGATGATGCCAATGTCCATGCCAATGGCAGTACTTGGGAATCTTCCTCTTCCTAGGCTTCAAACCCATGACTCAGTTATCCTCTTTCTCATCCCCAGCCACATTGTATCTCATTTCTTGGAGCACTGTGTTCGGCCAGTATGAAGATGCACCGCTTCCCTTTTTACCTCAAAATTGCTAAAAGACACTCTCCCTTCAACCCTTAAGTTGGCATTCCTATCTAATCCTAGGGTACTAGATTGTTCATGTGCGTGCGCGCGCATTTGTTGGCTGGCATCCATCATGGTCAAGCATGACACCAGTCCCCTCTCACCAAGGCACATA